TCTCCCATGCTTTTTACCCAACAATAGCTCCTTGTTCTTCCTATGAAGAACTATCATCATTCTGATGAAGACGTCAGAGGATTTTCAGCCGATATTCAATTCACTCTTTCCCTGAAACTGGGAAAATTTTACATCTCTTCCCAGATTGTATTATTCCTCCAATTAGGTTCCCCAGCAGTTCCAGTCCTGTCTGTAATTCTAGTTTTGCAATCCTAAATTCAAGTGCTTCATTCCTTTTTTACAGAGGATCTTGCACTACGTAAGCAATAAAAAAAAGAAAACAACAATAACCACTAAAGCAATCCTCCATGTGATATCTCAACCCCCTTAAAGCCTGGTGTGGAAGTAGTAGAGGGACTGTCCTTGGAGCTCCAGTTTTCCATACTGGAAGGCAAGCATGAAAGAGAAAGAGGGCAAAAATCTCTCTGCTCCTTTACTGCAGCTGCTGACCCTTTTCTTCTGAGAACTCCCTGGAGCCTTTTCAGGAGTTACTCACCTATGTGTACTTAGTTGTCTGATCACTGGCCCAGAGCTATTTAGAGGTGAATTGCGTTTCTCAAACAGATCTCAAGTCAGCAAATAAGAGTACTTGTCAGCTGAGTCATTTCTGCTAGCTTTAGCATTAAGCACCATGGCCGGAGGGGATCTACGGCAGAATTTAGGCCAAGGAGGAGGGCAAAAGCTTAGCGTCACTCAACGGCAAACTTCCCGCAACCAGGCCAGAAAAGCAGGCAGAGTTCAAATGAGAGCGTGTCACAGTTGCACGCAAGAGAACTTGGTTCTCCCCATAGCCTTGGAAGCACGAGTATCACCACCGGCACGACGCTGACCTGAGGTGGCACCCACACAACCTTGATGGAATCCCTACATGTGAGCACAGCACGGCAGGGGGAGGACAGGCAAGCCAAACTATTCTCAGAAGCACACTGTACACCCCCAGACTGCAACCTGCATCATGCAAACTGCAAATTTTATGCAGGAAACTGGAGGGAGGAAGAGAAAAGAAAGATTATTAGTTGTGGATGCCTCATCTCTGGAAGTGTTCAAGGCCAGGCTGGATGGAGCTTTGAGCAATCTGCTCTAGTGGAAGGTGTCCCTCCATGGCAGGGGGGTTGGAACTAGATGATCTTTAAGGTCCCTTCCAACCCTAACATTCTGTGATTATCAACATAAAGTGCATTAAAATAAACTGCTCAGAACAGGGAGAGCTGAAAAGGTGGGTAATCAAGAGACCCTCTGGTCTTGTTCCCAAACACATTTTCTTTTCCTCATTTGAAGGTATAAAATCACTCCACGGCCTGCCTCAGGTTTTTTGTCTGGTCAGAGGGCCATGACCCTGATACTGCAAAGGGGCAATAAGTATTCCCTGCAACAACCAGCTTAATTTTCCTACCTGTTTGATTGCAATTCTTAAAATGAGTAATGTCACCCCACCCTTTGAAAAAATTACTAAGCTTCCCCTACAGATAGGCCTCACCTGAAAATAATGATCCAGATCTGAAGTCCTCACCTCTCTAAAGTTCAGATTCAGGATTAGGATTTTGTTCAGACACATTCTAGAGATATGGTGGTGTCTCTGATAAAGCTGCAGTGCTGGCTCTGCAAACATCCCTCCCCAGAGCTTGGGGGCAACTTGAGGTAAAAATCCAAGCTCATTTGAAAATTGCAGGGAGGTTACAAAGATTTCAAAGCCATGCAAAACGCAGCAGCAAGCACAGCCAAGCAAAGCAGCCTTCAAAACAGGCTGCAGGTTGAAAGGGCTGGTAGGTTTTGCTCGCCTTGGACATCTTCCTAACGCTCTCCAGCGAGAGTGGGGAACGGCAGCACTGAAGCACAACGGGAAAGCACAGGCACAAGGCAAGGTCCCTGCAGCCAAGCCCAGCCTGTAAATTTGGGCAGCTGACATTACAGATGTCTTCCCGTTGCCCTGCTGCTAAGGCTGGCTGTTCTGAAAAGACAGATTGAGACAGGTCAGTGGGCACACACAAAGCACTGTTCAGACACCCAGAAATATATTGGGTCAACAAACAACATCAAGACATGGGCCTGAGTTACTGGCCACCATTTAAGAGATTAAATTGGTGCCGTGTCAATAAACAAACAGTAAAGGAGACGGCAGAAATCCTTTTCCCTTTCCACCTCTTCCCTTCACTGTTGCTTTTTCCTCTGCCTCATTTCTGAGCCTCGGCACCAAGCCCCAAGGTTCTACAGCAGCACAGTGGCAAGGATTGCTGGAGAAGATCAATGCTAGGATCAATTTTCTCTCGATACAAGATCACCTGTTCCAGGGAGAAGGGAGAAGAAGGCAGGGTGAAGGGAAGAGCTCCATGTCAGCAATCGCAAACCCTCATCAGCCCCCAGGGTGTAAAAGGCTGCAAAGTTTCCTGATAACGTGAGGCAGAGCCAAAGAAAACAAACAATGTTGTGGTATTCCTGCCTGGGAGGCACAAATTCTCCATCACCTCCAAGTTTCCTGAGCCCCCATCAAAACGATTAGATTATAAAAACTGCTGAAACCAGAGCTTTTCAGGGAGGCCAGTCAAGAAGTCACAGCACAACAAAAAAGTAAGTGGGGGGTGTTCTAGGGGAGGGAGCCCTCCTTCCCGTGGTGGCTGTATATTGGCATGTATTAAACATAGACACAACAATAAGCAATAAATCACAGCCCAGGAGAAGTGCCAGGTGGAATGCACTGGAGGAAATTAAAATATCCTTCTTGATACAGTTCAGTATTATAAGAAACACAAAGGAGGCCAAGTTGACTTATCACCTACACAGCCAGGATGCTAAGAGGAAAAAGGGTTCTGACAGTTGCAGCTGAAAAATTTGCAGTTGAATAATATCCAAAAAAAAAAGAAATAAAATACATATCTTTGTTTAAAAAGTAATAATAGTATCACAAATATCCTTTTAAACACATAAATAAATAATGGACTTCCCTGGCTTTCCTAAGTTTTCTTTTTTTTTTTTCCTCCTTTTTTCAAAGGCACAGTTCTCCACAAGACTCAGCTTTGGGGCAAAGGATCCATTGCAATGCACACAAGTACACTCCTTGGCCAGCACCCTAATTCAACAAATTCTGGCCTCCCACATCACCCAACGTACACACCCACCATGCCGTCAGGAGACCCTGTCTTGTGTACAAAGTATCATGAAACTAGGCAAAGAAGGCAGAGTTTGAGGCTCCATCCTCCGAAGAGCTGGACTGCTTCCTTACTTCACTGAAAAACGCCTCCAGAAAGTTTGTTTTAGAAAAAATCAGCGTTGGTACAAAAGCTTCCCAGTAAATTCAGCCAGGAGTCAGGGCTGCACAATGCATCAAACTGAGACTGTTTGTGGCCACCAACACGTGAAGGAACCTCTGTGGAGGTGGGTGTTTGTTTGGCTGGGATAAGCTTATACTGGCAGGGGACTGCCCTGTGCCCCTCAGGTCCTAAAGATATGGTGCTCCTGTGAGGTACCCCCACCTGTCTGTCCTCCAGCCACTGAAGGGACAATTCCCTGCTTGTACCTTTTTCAGACAGTCAAGCAAACCCCCATCATTTGAGTTTTAATGGAAGTGTCATACAAACCACTTATGCAGGCTGAAACTGGGACACGATCTATAAATTACCAGAAAGCTGAACTCAAGATTAGGAAAAGAAAGAAAAGGAAGAACTCGTTTCTCTTGCAACTGGATCATATATATGTATACACACATAAATATTCTCACACTGAAACTGTCCAGGACAGCCTGAAGAGGATAGCTGTTATGTTCTACCTTTTAAAATCTCTGCTTTTAAAGGCTGAGGACAGGATGGCATTTTCCAGCTGTGCTTCTCTTTCTCTTACTAAACACTTGTGTGTCAGCCTGTCTGTATAACCAACTAAACCTTTACACATTAAACACTTCTGTGTCAAACTTGCAGTAATGACCAAGTTATATTTTCTGAAAGGGATAATTAAGAGGTTCAGTGAAAACAGAGCTGGCATTTTTATATTTAGACAGACGTGAATTTAGTACAAGCTGATAGATAAACTCTACTTGTTGAAAATAAAATGATGGTGACATTTTCTATATCAGTTTTTTTGGCAAGAGGACAGGGACATCTTGCAGCAGGCCATGAAAGAGGGAATCCGTTTAGACGTTGCTCACAAATTCCTTCCTCTCGTCTAGCACAGAGGACATCAGTTGGAGACAAAACTCTCCTCAAGGAAAGCAAGGCAAAAGCAAGAAAGGAGAAGGCAGAATGTTTTTAAGAGATTCAAACAAGCAATTACCCGCAGCAGACCCCACCACACACTCAGGGAGATTATTTGAGCAGATGTCTCAATCGGCTGGCATCACACGCTTTCACCTGCTTAAATGGGGGGATACCAACGAGATGCAAAATCCTTCTACATGCACTTCTGTGTGGAACACTGCTCTGAAGCCAGGGGTGACAATTAAAAAAAAAGTCATTTTTCCTACTCCCTTTAAAAGGTACAATCAAGGCACAGAATGTATCCAGGTGTGAGAGGTGTCACACGTAGTTGAGATGAGCTATTGGGTTCCAAAAGCAATAACAAGTTGCCGCGCAGCCCAGCCCTGCCTCATCAGACATTTGAGAGGTGATCATTTGGATAAGCCGGGATAGGCTGTCTGCAACCCAAATTCAGAAGCAGCCATACTGCCAGAAAGAACCACCAGCAAAACACATGGAGTTAATAAAAGCAACAGAGAAATGTCAAATTAAAAACAAAAAGAAAACAAAACAAAAGTAGTAAATATTGCAAGTCCTTCCGTGGTAAACACACAATTAATTTCTGATGAGGATTAATTAATATTTGCAAAAAAAATATTGCTCATTCTCATTGTTCTTATCATGAATGTATCTGTCAGGAGACGCACTTCCAACAGTGTCTTTTGTCTTGCAGTGATGAAGAAAAGCATTCTAAACCAAATCAGACTGGAATATGTTTCCCTGGTGCTCTTCTTTTTAGGCTGAAGTGGAATATATCAGAGCTGTAAATTTGCTTACCCTTCTGTTCTGTACATGGAGCATCTCTCCAGAGGAATTTTTAGCACTCCATTATTTAAGCCCACAAAGAGCGACCTGTCGCTGTGCAGGATTTGGAGACTCTTGATTGCTTCCCGTTGCCCGTCAGGGAGGATCTGCATTTCCTCTAAATAACAACTCCTCAGGCTCCTGTTAGTGGTAGAAAGGGCCTTCAAGATGGTGCCATACTCTAACGGAACAAGAAACAAGGCACAAGTAAATCTTGGAGACACTGACTTCATTTCATACCTGCCAAAGGAGTGAAATGTTAATGTCATCTTCACGCGGCCGCTTTAAACCTAGCTCGGAGTCACCTGCTGCCCATGGTAGAGAGAGCTCCAGCTACACGGTTACAACCCCCAGCAGTTCTCAGACATCACAGAAACCGTCTGTGAATGCATTTTAATGGGAAACCAGAAGGATGTGCACCATCTGGAGATGGTTCCTGGAAATATTTCCCAGTTGGAGCACTGAGGCAGAAAAGAGTCTGGTCCCATTACCTGCAAGGTGACCTAAGACAGCAGGGATCATTCCTGGTGCCTTGAGTCTATATTTCTTTTGATTTATGGAGCAGATCGGTGTGATTTGATGCCATGACAAATGACAACAGATGCAGCAGCCCTGCTGGAAATCTCAGGCCTCCATAATGACTGCACGGGTCATGGATCTAATTGATCCTCTTCCTGGAAGAAGCCGTCCTGCCAGCTTGACAAGGGGATGTTATGGCATGAGCAGTACATACGCAGAAACATATAGGTTTGTATTCACAGTGCTCTTACCTAAACAATTAATAGATCTGATAAATTGTGGGAGATTTATGCTGGGGAAAAGGGGGAAACCACACCATTTCTTATTAAAACCCCAAAGAGGTGTGTCAGCCCTGATTGTTCCTGAAGCTTAATCTATTCCAATAACTTCTATATTGGTGCCAATGCTCAGCAATTTATAGTTGTGGGGCTCGCTGCTGTGTGAAGCTTCTTCCATTTAGGAGAGCCTTAAGTGTGGAACAAGACCGAGGCCCAAGTTTGAGTTTGGTTTGTCTCAGGTCTGGGTTTGTGTTCAGGGCTGCTTCTGGGCACGGCTGTCTCTACTGAAGCATTTGACCGGTTTAAATGTTTCAGATCCAGTAAAGCCTACTCTTCATCAGGGCCAGAAAGCAAACATGTGTAAGGAGGTAAGGTTAGGGCAGTGGACATTTCTACACAAATGATACGAGGCAGAAAGTATCCCAGCTTTCTCTCAGTCTTTGTAGGTGGGACTCCTCACTTAAAATACCAAGATACCAAAATGGCAGAACCATGTTGTATTTCCATTTAAATACAATCTTATCATAATCCATGTCCATGGAGGCTCCCACAGTGGGAATGTTATTAGAACACATCCAAGATGATCACTTTTGAAGTGGTGGTAAAAGTTGGATAAATTATGACACAATCCTGGAAGGTGGTAACACGAAAATGAGGCAATGACTCTGCATTCAGATGTGAGATTAAACTAACACTTACAGAGGCAATCCATCTTATTCTAAAGTCAAAGCTTCTGCAATAGAGGATAACAACATTATACCCAAGAGGCTGGCCATATGCTTTGATTAATCAAAGTATTTAATTTAACCTCTATCATTACTATGAATATGGGCTAAGACAACCATTTATAACACTTTGTCCTTCTTCAGCATCTTTCATTTATCCAAGATATCTGTGCTTTTCAGAAGAGGCAATGTGTCCTGCTAATTAGAGGATGGCAGTAGAAATCCAGAGACTAAATCATATACTTGATTCTACCACTGGCTCGCTATCCTACCACAAAAAAGCACTTGCCTCAGCTTCCCCATCTGCGTCACATTTCAGTGCATGCCCAATCCCGAAAGCACCGGGAGTCATACACCGGTAGGTACACGGAAGTGCAAAGAAAGAAATAATTAAAACCTTGGGCAAGCCTGGAGGGTAAGCATTATTATTGCTTATTTAGAATGAGTTATGTCATAGCACAGAAAGGCAACTTACGTGCACAAAACCACACAGCATTTCAATGACCTTTGCTTCTCCCCACTGTTATGTATTAGCCTGATGAGTTGAAACATGTTTTTATAGAAGGGAGAAAAATGTTATTGTTGTTTTTAAACACAATGTAGATTTATGGCCTGTTAACTTGGGACTCTGCCTCGAGTCCTCCATCCTGCTTTTAATTTACTCAGGCAAGCTAACTTCCATATAGTTTTGTGCCAAAATGATACTGAATGACAACTGTGTGACCATGTCACGACTGGGGTCCCAGGACTGCTAGGTCTACCAGCAAGTGGAGGGAACTTTCTTAAGCCCTGATGCTCTTACCTGTCCCAATATACATCACGTGGTAGAGCGTATCCTTCCCCTGAACAATATCAACCACCAGTTTGGAAAATCGAATGCTGTCCTGAGTCACGTATGGATCTACAGTCACCGGCTGCACGACATCATTCATCAGGAACAAGCGCTGCGCATCCTGCAGGACTCTCTCCGTCAAGTTCTCGTTAGGGCTGTCATCATTCAGCGTCCCACACTAAACACGGAAGATTGAACTTCAGCACCTGCATTTTCGCCCCTCTCCAGCAGCCCAAGACCAAACCCTGAAATTCTTCTTCTGAAACCCATGTCCTGTTGATTTCCTGGAGAGGTGGATCTGTGTGAGGGTCACAGAATCAGCCCCTTAACCTGATCACAGGTCCTTAGCACAGCTTTGGCCTGAAGCCCACTAAAAACACTCTCCCAGCTGGTCCACTGACCAGCGATGTGGTGTTTCCTTCCCTCGTGATTCCCTGGAGCCAGCACACTAGAAGGGCAAAAGGCATTAACAAACTGAGAAGGAAAATAAAGAATTAAAACTATCTGCATAAAGATTTAAAACTAGCAGTGGAGATAAAGTTTTCATGGTGATAAAACCTCGAAGCATTTCAAATAATCTTCCGACTCTACTGGGCATCTCAGTCTGTACAATGCACGAAAACTGGAGGCTAAAAAACCTGAATACTGGGTTAGTTTTGCATCACAGGATGCAACTCACCACACTGATTTTCTCTGATGTGCTTCCTTCTGAACAGACCCTTACAGCTTCATGTGAAGCCAGGCAGGTTAGCCACTAGCTCTCCCCTCCCCACACACAGCTCTCCTCTCCTCCCAGCAAATGGCGTGTCCATCCATCCATCCTCTACGACCAAGGGGTGCACAGAAATTGGATCCAATGCCCTTCAATTAATCCACAATAGGGGGAAAGAAAAGAACTCATCTTGTGTCTTTTAAACACCAGTGTAAGTCCTACCAGGTGGATAGAGCATTTTAAGGCCCAAGTTTCTATCTCACACTAATGTCTACAATTCAACATTTTCAAAAACCAATGCAAGATTAAACTCCTCATGCAGTTTTGTGGTCCATGTCTGTAGCCAGGGCTGGATCTTCACTCTTCCCCACAGTGCCATGCATGATGGGCAGAAGATTTATTACTCCAAAAGACAGCTGGGTGACTGGTTATTTATCCTGCCCAAGGCCATGGGAGTCAGTGGTACAACTAGAAATGCTGCCAACTCCCAGACTCAATCCATGGACAACTTTGTTTCTCACTAAGTGAAGCTCACACCTGAGTAATTTCACTAGAAAAAAAAAACCCACAAATTCTTTTTCTTCATTTTGGGTCCAAGTGTTTGGACTTTCCTTGGAAGAGAAGTTAGTATATTGTGAATAAGGATGTGGATTTACAGCACTCCAGCTACGGTGTGCAGATTTCACAGGTGCAAACTCTCCATATGCATCAAAGCAACTCTTTTTGGTGTGGCTGCCTTTCCGAGGAGCACCATGCAGTGCTTCTCTTACGACGTGCTAAAATGAGTTGACAGGAATTTAGCTCACATTTACACAGTAAATACAGATCCTAACGGCTGGTGTACTAAGCCCTACAATATTTTCGAGCTTATGTGACCTAGGTGAACAGGGTGAGAGTAATTCCTACCACCTATGAACATGGACACTTTTTTATCAACTTAAGCATCTTCCTGAGGAGCCAGACTAAGGAAATATCAGTGGCTTTTGATGTGTCCTCGGGTGGGTTTTAATGTTGGGTTTTTTTCCTATTGCAATGGTCTTTTTTAGTTCATGACTCATCTCACATCCTAGAGAGCTTTTAGATCTCTGTGTTCTGCTGTCTCCTATACTCCTTCTGGTTTACACTACTGTCTTGCTTTGGATGCTTTCCCCCCCACCTCACTTCCTTTCTAGAGCATCATTGAAGGAAGAGTCCCAGTGGCAGGAATGTCATTATTGGTTTTGTTTTCTGTTCTCATCAAGTCACAGATAATCCTTTTGGTCTATTGGCAGCCTGTGTGCTGACACAGCATCCCTCTGGTTTGGTTTTATTTTGTTTTGTTCCAATTTCCTGATTATCTGCACTGCCCTGATCCTCTATATCCTTCAGTATTTCTCCTTCCTCTCTGCAAGAAAAAAAAATATTCTGGCATGCTTCCCTCATCTTCCTTTGTGAACACCGAGGCAAAAAAATTAATTTAATTTTTTTTGCAATATCTGCCTCTTCTGTCACTAAATTACCCTTGTCATCTCCTGAAGGCCCTTCTCTGACCTCTTGTTCCTCCTGTACTTGAAAAACATCTTAATCTCTTCTTGCAATCTTGCTATTGTCTGCCACATACCTCCTTTTCCTTTCTTTATTTTCCTCTTACCCTTTTCTCTCCTCTTACTGCCACAGTCTTTGCACTCCACATTTTATCTGATACTCCTGGGTTAGGCCAGCAAGGGACAGAAAGCCCTTGATTCTCAGTTAACCTTAATATTCTATTTAAAATTAAAAAAAATTAAAAAAAAAGAAGAAAGAAAAAAAGCCTGGCCATATTTGACACGTCTGGGCCTTTGGCAAAGCTTTGCTTCTTGATTTTGAGTGCACCAAGCTGAGGGGGTGATCGAGAGCCCAAAGCTGTCCCACCTTGTACAGCCAGAAGCCCCACTCAGGTGCCATGAAGGAATTCAGGGGGAGAAATCAGGTTCCTCAGCAAGAACCCCAGCACGTCCCTGCCTGCAGTGTGGACCTGCCTTCCATCTGCTCTTGCTGAGATTTCAGGCGACTGCAGAGTCCCTTTTGGAAGGTCCCTGACATCACCAGCTTGAAGGCAGATGGCATTTGCAGGCAGCCTCAGCACCTTTGCCATAATAAAGGAGAGCCAGATCCACACAGTTGGGCTGAAAGGATTCACCATGGGAAGCGAGGACAGGAAGACAAGTCCACCCTCCCTAGGATTCCCCAGGTGGGAAGGGACTGAACTGTAAAAAGGTCTCATGCTTCAGAAGACTCAGGTTTGCTGGGGCTGTCACTCACATTATCTTCACCACACTGACTGAATCTGGGCATAAAGTGATTGCACTTGTTCTATCATTTTCAATTTGGCCTTAACTGATAATCCCATGGTCTCAATAACAAGTGGCAAGGAGTTCCACAGACTAAACTACTCATAAATTCAGAGAAATACAGTTTACCTTAACTGTGGGTCTAGCTAGAAAAATGAGCCCCATGCAAATCAGCCCAGTGGAGTGACAGAAGGTAAAAGAGATTGGAGTAAACTGGAGGGCAGCAGTAGTACCTGGAAATTAGGGATGGGGTTTAACGTTGGCAGCCAGGCTGATCTTGGGTTTTCTTGGTAACGGAAAGGGCCATTAAATGCCTGAGTAATGGCACTCAGATTGAAGGCACACACTGCTGAGGCAGCTATGCTGTTTCTGGAAAAGAGGAAAAAAAAAATCAATTTAATCATTAGAACATTGACATTTTCATCATAACAGACATCAAACTCCACTCAAATAAAATACATGTAAATTGCTAGGTAGATGTACAGTGATACCAATCTCACGAGAAGTAAAAATAAATAAATAACTTGTAAAATGCAGATGGCTTGCATGACAATTTTGAGAATGAATTTTAAGCGTGGTTTTAAAATGTCTGTGATTTAAGGGCCATGGAAGCAGTTCTGACAAGAAAGGTGAACACAATTTAATTTGCATGGATTATTTGTGTCTGGTTTTGTTTTTATTTTTTTTTAACAACCCATCTATCTCTATTGATTACAAACAACCTAATTTTTAATCTCTTGGTGTTTCTCAAGGTGAAATTCTGTTTCCACAAGCTCCTGAGTTCTTCAGGTATAAAATATATCCCCTAACACTACTTACACATATATATGTATAAAAATAAATACAGACATGCATACACATACATGCAGGGGAAGGGAAGGGGTGACAGTGCAAACCAGGCTGGTTGTTACAGCGACTCAGCATGCAAGAAGGTCTTGCTAATAAGTGAAAGCCTCTGTTTTCAATGATCACAGTTCAATTCTTTGTGTTCCCACCTGGGAGTAGCATCTGTCTCGGGAGGCACAGCTAGGAAAACACCATTGTAGGAAAGACTCTTTGGAAGGGCATTTGTTTTAGGGATGCTCCGCTGCCCAGTCAAATTCACACACAGATCTATCAGCCTTCACTGTCCCATTTTAGTCATGAAGGACCCATTTCTGCAAGGTCCTGAGCAGGCTCAGCTCCTTTTGCCTCAAGAGGGCTGGAGGGCACTTCCCAGATGGTGATGGCACCTCAGGCAAGCCAACCCAAAGCACAATGTTTGCTAAGTGGTGACCTGAAATTCAAACCTGCTCCCAGCTCTCTCCTTCCCCCCAGCTTTTTTTTTTTTTTTTTAAAGGAAAAGAACAACATTTAGAGAAAAAGATACCAGAATAAAACTAAAAATAGGGCTAGCACAAGAGACTGACTCGTCATGGTGCCTTTTAAATAACACAAGCCCTGCTGCATGTATCTTTCTGCTAATTAAAGCAATTTGAATTCTCTGAAAAGAATACATTTCTTTAACTAAACCAATAATTATACTCTCTTGCACAAAATTAAAAAAAAAAAAAAAAAAGCCTTGCTCCACAGACTGGAAAGGAGAAGAACAGATTCTTTCCCAGCATATTTCTTCCGAGCAACACACATCAGGAGGAACTTCTTCCTTTGCCTTCCCATTCTCTGCTCCTGCCCCTGCCCCTGCCCCTTCCATCCCTAGAGTGATGGAGTAGCTCACTTTGAACGTGTCAAAGCAACACCAGGTGAACCTTTCTCCACTTCTGCCTGAGCACCACTGACGGTGCGTGCTCACAGATGGCAGCTCTTAAGACAAAGGTAATGATGGATGACAAGTAAATGCCTTGAGGCACACATGAGAAAAAAAAAGAGAATGAGAAAGAAAATGAAAAAGGAAAAGAAAGAATAAAACACCACTAGTCTAACAAAAACAGCTTTTTTTTTTTAAAAAAAAAGAAAAAGATATTTTTAGGGCCTTGCTAAGGGCTCCACAGTTTAGTCCTTTCTCTTCGCTAGAGGAGAAAGGAAAGAGGTTTTTGATGAATCTGTGGCCCGTTTTCCATTTCATCTGTGGCCTGGCATATTTCCCATCCCTCCCTGTGAAAAGTTTGATCCCAGTCTCAAGCCGGTGACATCAACTTGTGCAGTTGGCCCATGTGTTGTTTCTGGTGTGAAGTGCAGCCTCCTTTATTCCCACCTCCTATTTCCTGTGATTAACTAGGTGGTTTAGAGAATGGTTAAGTTCAAGGAGCTTTTAACATTGTCTGCATTACCTCCCAGAAAAATTTTAATAAAAACTTCTTAAATATTTCATCGGTAGCTTCCCCAAAAAGCTCTCTTTCCACTGACTCAGCTGGGTATAACATGACATGAAGCAATAAATCTATATGTGGGTGTTACCACAACCACTAATACCCCTTGGTTATAAGATGACCCTAAATTCATTAAACATGATCCTTGCAAAATAAAAATACCTTTAAAGAAAAAAATCATAGTTTTATGGTGCATCGGTATTCTATTATAAAGAAATTCAGACTGGAGCATACATCAACCCTCTTTGGTATGCAGAGCTCGTGCAGCATGATATAAGTCCCAGTGGAAGTTAAAAGAATAATTACCATTATTTCTCTAGTCGGATGACAAATTGGAACATTTTCACTTTGAATTCTCAAAAGAACATCCTGTTGTAGACCCAAAACGCTACTTGATCTAACTTCAGCTATTATCGATAACTCATTTCTTCAATTACACAAACGTTACATATTGTATTGTTCTCCAAAGATACAAGAGATAAGATACACCCATAGTGTAAGAAGAGTGACTTAAGTGTAACCCAGAGGAGATGGGTAACAGTCATTATGTCTCACATTAAACCTGGGAGACAGAAACAGCAGACAAGAACTCTTCCAACTAGAGGTAGCCTATGTCTCCTCACTTATATTCCAAAACTAAACCAATTTGATAAATATAATACAGTTATTAATAATTTTGCCATTTCCAACTTCTGTTCTTGGCTGGATGAATGGACAATTTGATAGATAAAACATTATCACTATAGGCATCTGTTTGCAAAAAAATGCAATCAGGTGTCATCTCTGACTTCTGATGCAATCAGGTGTCATCTCAAATGCCCAAAGCAGTAGCCAGGTTTCGTATTAATGTTCAGGAAGTTTGGCTAGCATCCTCTAAATGTTTTCAGAGAATGACTCATGCTCCTTTGGATCGCAGGACAGATTTTCCTCAAAGTCAACAGTCAAGGTACAGCACTCAGCCATGTTTATTTTTTTTTCTAGTTGTTTCTCCACTGGCTCACTTTTGGCACGTTGGCAATGGTAGTGCAGAAACAAAACACGGAAGGATGAGAGTGGCCAAACACTTACCTACTTCTTGGCACTTACAGAATGGGAATAACATTCAGTGTCTGTTGACTCTTATAGTGAAACTCCCAACAGTGCTTTAGCTCAAGAAGTTGGGGCTGATGCTTTGTAACTTCAAACGGTGAAGTTCAAGCGCTGTCACACCAGTAAGTGACACATTAAAATAGGAAGGCCTGCATACTTCAGTGGGGCTTCACTTTCTTGGTTTGCCATGGGCTTCTTGGGAACAGACCCTTATTCATATTGAATAGTACTTCTTTGCACACAAAACCCACAAAGACGTTGGCTACCCAGCAGGAGAAATGCATTTTGAGCGTTTGTTGTGTGGAGTAACTAACTCAGATTTTCATTCTCTAGTTTACACATCAGGATAACACGCCCCTGGAGAACATGTATTATTGAAACTCAATACCACACAGACTGATTATAGCTTGAAACTTATCATCCTAGCCTCGGGCGTCAAAGAAAAAGTTATTTGAGCCTTCCTGACTTAAAAATATACATTATGAGTTTTTTAATATATTTTTTAATTAACTCTTCTTCTTTCTGCTTTCACAGCTACACTAAATCATTCCAATTACAAGTTTTTTTCAATATCAAGCCAAGAAAAGGTGATTATGAAGTTTCAGAAATCATGCCTCCCCTCAGAGTTCCAAAGCTGCTTTTGATTTGTGGACCTGATACAGTCTGTAGTGGAGGTACAGTCCCCCTTGGAAATGGCAAATGCTGTATAGCCCGCATGACCTTGCTTCTACAGCAGTTTATGTTGATTTCAGTCTAGGCTGTTGTGATCCATCTGTCTCGTTCACCTCCTTCCAGCCCTTCTCTCCCAAGCATATGTAACCTGTCCATCTCATGGGCCAGCCCCAATGTTCACACCATAGTGTCAGATCATCCAGGCAGTTAACCTGGTTGAAAATTAATTATGTTTTTCTGTTGGGTCATTTTTAGACTAGTTCTCTGAACTACACAAGTAGCATTGCCACTACAAAAAGTCAGAAGTCTGTCACAGCCCAGGTTTATATCAAACTGCACAGTCACCTTTTATGGACCCTAGGAATCTATGAACCATTAATTAAAACCACTGTTCTAAAGGCTATATCGCTGGATGGATAACACAGTCCTATCCGTTCTTTCATGTTAACCAAAGGATTGTTCAAAAATGAGTGTTCAGACTGTCTAAGAAATCAGGATATTGACAGTCTCAGACTTCTGGGGATTAGAGGAAGGGCAGTAAAACCAGTACAACTTACACATTAGTAGTGAAGACACCATAGATCAGATCTTGCTCAGGAAGGTAGAAGGTGCTTTGCAATTCATTATAATAGAAAGGAATTTCTCCAGCACGGGAGCAGTTCAGCCTGGCCTTCATGAAAGTTGTCCATGTGTCCTCCAGCAAAAATCTCCCTCCAATATCATTTTTGCAAACCCTTGCCACACGAGAATACACGGTTTTCCCACAGTCATGTTCTACCGCATTCTCACGGAAGAAGAAGTAAGTGAACAAACCGATGTCATAGGCAGCAATAAAGTTGGGCTCTGAAAAACAAACATTTGAAGAGATTTATATAGGTCAGAAATCAATCTGTGCTCACTGACTTGCCCATTGCCTTGCGCCACCAGCTCCCTTTACACAGGCTGTCGAAGCTGGGACCACGGGGAGCCTGGAGTCAGCAGATGACATAAAAACAGTAGATGAGAATAATGATTTATGGGGATATAGTTCTAGTTCCGTTTTTCAGATCTTGGAAAGGCTCCATTGTTTCCCCACTTTATTGCCAAAGCTGCTACTGACTTCACTGAAAGCAGAGTTCAACACCTTGCATATGCATGACTGTTCTCTATACGTATACTCATTTTACAATATAAAGCCTTCCCATTGGATTCCTTCACCTATTCACTTCTGAAGTGCACCTTATAGTGAGTTAAATATGCTGCGTGCATCCGCCCGATTCCCCAGACTGCTGCACTGAAACACTCAACCTACTCTCCCAGCACAATCACATCTGGCTTTTATCATGAAGTCTTTCCAGCTTCTAGGCACAAAAGATTATCTTATGTTCGTAAAACAAAACCATGCCACAGACTAACAGCATCGAAGCAAGCTCTCCTTAATTTTTGTTCTCCTAGAATTATTGCTATTATTTTCACCAGAATTGAAAAGAACCTGGAATTGGTTTTGTAGTGCATATTTTAATGGGGTATTTAACAAAGCTTTAAAGTGTACGGTCTTTTATTCCAACAGTTTCTTTGGCAAAGGGAAAAGATTGGCCAATGAATAATATTTGACTAAACAAAAAACCACGTTGGTTTTATACACTGCATTTACAATATTCACTTCTGGGCAATGTTCAAAGGAAGAATGAGAAAGGAAAGTACAGAATTCCTTTAGGGCTGAAGCCTAGGAGTGAAAGGAGAAGAGAGTTGTGGTGGAGGAAGAGGAGGGTAGGGTGACTCTGCTGCAGGCAGGTTTGGGAGGCAAAGGATGGTACAGAGGGGAGGGCACTGCAAAGCATCTCCCATCAAACGTTCTCCTTCAAACAGGGGCTCTTAAAGGGACAGTTGTGCTCACCAATCTGACCTTCTGTCTAACATGAACCAGAGAATTTCACCCTGTAATTCCACCATCAGGTCCTGTAACTAACAGGTGAATTAGACCACATCTTTCGAAGGAGATCTGATCTTGCTGGCCAGTGTCACGCGGCTTTACATCCATCACTTTCCTCAGTGACTTGTTCAAATGACTGAAGACTGCTCCAGCTGCAACCTGTACTTTTTCCATTTGACATTATGTGGTTTCAGCTTCCAATCACAGGCTCTTGTCATGACTTGACTGCTAGATTAAAGAACTTTATCCTGCCAAAAATCTTCTCTTGATGTAAGTACTTCCATATCATGAACAAAACACCTTTTATCTCCTTTTCAGAAAGATAAATAAATTGAGCTCCTTAAGTCTCTCACTGTGAGGCAGGCTTCCCTAGCTTCAAATCACTCCATGGCTCTTCTCTGAATCATCTTCAAGTTTTCTGTTTCTTGTTGAAAAGTGGCCAGAGCAGGATGAAATTACTCCAATGTCACCAACGCTGCACAAGGTTATAAATCCAAGAGTCATGTTAGCTTTTCCAATCACAGAACAGAAACTCAATTTCTGTTTGTCTTTCCTTAAACTCCTCTGTTCCAACGTGACTTCTGTCTGAATTCTTCATTTGTGCACAGACAAGAGGCACATATTTCTAGTGACTGTATATGGGTTATGCTGCTTCTTGGTCCTAATTCACAGTCTTGCCTGATGACACCCTTTTCCCACAACTCTGTATCTCCATACTGACTTCAATATACCTGCAGACACCTAGTTCAGTCTCACCGAGCTCTAGAGAGTGCACAGCCCCACTGCTCCTGTCTTTGATTGAAAGGTCCTGAAATCCAATGGAAAGATAATGAATATCTGGTCAACTCACCTGGGTGAAAGGAGGGGGGGTGTGTGAATATTGTGGTCTCCATCACTACAGTCTGCTCAGACAAGATGTGCTTTGCCCCAGCCAGAACGTGTGGACTCAGTGCAGGAATTACTTGTTGAAATTCTATAGCTTGCTTGATATAGGGTATTATCACACTGGGATAACATATGCTTTTCATAACTATAAATCCACAACAACGTGGGTTCATGTGGAACATAATGTGCTGTGAAATTTCTCAGTTTTGGACTGATCTTGCACTGAAACCAACCACCTTCAGCTGAGTCAGTGGAAGCAGAGGGTGCTTAACACCGTGCAGAACTGGGTCAACGATGTGATGCTTTAAGGTGGTTTTGATCTTCAAATCTTAGAGAAGATTTCTTGTTAAAAAGATGTATTTGGTAGTCTAACAAGACAAAGACCCATATAAGTAGGCTTTAAGACCCATTTTCCATATTCTAAATGAACTTCTCTAAAATACTTCCAGGCTATTTTTAAATGTCGTCTAAGCTGCATCGATTATCGCACGGGAAGCCCTTCCCCATCATAACTCTGGATCCCAATATGAAAAGAGAGGGAAAGATTTACAAGCCTAACAAGTTGACTTTAATACACCTCTTGCTCAGATATGACCGACAAGACTTTACCGTTGAGCCACTTGGAGTTGTATTGTGCTGTCCTAAGTGGGGGAACATTTCCAAGGCTGCGGTAAATAGCAGGATCCCGTCCAGAGAAATCAATTACAGTTGCAGCATAGAGTTCTCCTCGCGATGTGATCACAGCTGTCGAGTTATGCCGGGGGTCGTACGGGCACCGAGCCACTCCATTAATTCTGTCAATGATTTTGCTAAGATTTCCTACCTGTATTTAAAAGGAGAGAGGTACAGAGAATTCAGTTTGCCCGCAAGTACCTACAAGCAAAACCCCGATTTTAAAAAACCAGGCAGCTATAAGAAAGTACGGTCAGTGATGACTGTAAATTGATCTTTATATCCATCATTTGCCAACATAAGAAGTTGTGTCTGAGCCTCACTGATCGTATTCCTTTGTAAGAAGGGTAATTCCCCAGCCAATAAAGCCTGCAGGCCCCAACCCACTCAGTATAATCAGGTGCTCCTGCTGCTAGCACAGGTTTCTAATCTTCCATAGACACCTTCTGAATGTATACTGGCATTAAAAAATATGAAAATAAACATTGCTTTGGATCTGTTCCTGCCTCCTTTGAAGCCAGAAGGAGTTTTGCCATTTATTTTAAGGAAACATTTAAGTATTCAGCTCAGGAGATTTCACAGCTAAGCTTGTCTATATTCCCCATTTTCAACAGCATATCCAAAGTTTTCATGAGCAGCACTTTGTTCAGATCCAGCTCACTCAGAAGTTTTTTGCCCCCCACCTGCAGGCACACCCACTGCCCTAAAGCAGCCTGGAGAACAAAACCAAAACATTTTCAGATCAGCTACATTTAGAACGTATTCTCTACAGCCATGATGCCCTGCCAAATGACTGGCCTTCCCCAGAGCATGTATCCAGCCCTCTCCATCACTGCAAAAGAGGCAAAACATACCTGTCGACTGGAACACACCGGCGAAAAGGCATTGGTACCACAGGTAAAAACCTTCTTGCCATAAACAATTAGCACTCGGACATAGTTCTGGCACTCTTCCTGTAGGGACACAAGACACAGACAAAGCATTTTTGAAAAGAAGACTGTGGGGCTATTTATTACATTTTTAAAAATTGCCCGTATTGCAGCTGGAATACACCTTCCTTAGCTCTAACTCGGACTGAAGTTTGTTGCATCAAGCAGTGCACACCTGTAGGGAACTAGTGGTCTGAGTGAGCAAGCCCAATTTGCTGGTTATTTCTCTAATCATAGCCCTGCACAGTCCCTGGATAGCATGTTATCCATCAGGTTGACTCTGTATTAGCTACACAAGTGCCTCTGTCTGTGCTCTGCATAGACCAGAGGAGGAACCCTCCCTATTTTCATGATTATACTTTTGACCTATTTTTCCCAGTAATGTTGCAGATTTGACAATGTTACCCAGTCACAAATTCCAGTGAAGGACAGGGAGTCCGTCTGCACTATAATTCACACCAGTGCCAGCAGGAAAACAGCAGGAACTTCTGTTTAATAGACCAGGCTGGTCAGGAGAATCTCATGCTTGAATAGGCTGTTACTTTCTGCCTCCCACAAGGACCGTGCGCTCAGGATTTTCCATGGTAGAAGGAGTTTCTCTTTCAGGCCAGGCCGGTAAGAAATATCAAATCCTCTCTTCGCTGGTACAAACAGGCAACTCCCTCCACATGCCAGTCCCCAGAAGTGTGGGGCTCCAGACGTCCCACGTTGGGGTGGGGGTGGCAGCACAAGGTTGCAGTTGACTTTTTTTCAGAAAATCCCCTTTGTGGTGTTGGAGAGAGGCACAGTCTGTCATTCTCCCCACAGATTCGTGTCCAGAGACCTGTGGATCAGGCCAACTGTGCATCTTTGGGGAGTTAAGAAGTGGGGGAAGACGAAGCCACATTAAGGCAGGGACTTTCTAACAGTACACAGAGGGAAAGGGAGGTGCAAGACTAGCGTGCAGCTCGCACAGGCAGTACCAGAGGCTCGAGAGCCACCTGCCCCAAGGTTCATCCAAACAGCCTGATGAGAGATGTACAGAGAGTCTGGCACCCGCCTGCCCTGGGCTCTGGGGACACCACAGAGGAAAGGATTTGAGCAACAGCTAATCACCGGCACCCACAGGCTTCCAAGGGAAGAAGGTCTATTCTATTCTACTGCAAGCAGAAAAGGAAACTTGTTAGAAAAGTAACAACCTTGGCTGGGTTTTCCTGGCTGCTTTGCTTTCCTCCCTCCAATAGATCATAATTTGCCACTAAGCTGAGCTTACAGCTGCAGACACCGCTTCTCCTGCTGTACGCAGCAATCACTCTGCGAGCTGCCCTGTCTCACAGCGCTCCACGCTGTTGATCATCTCCCTGAAGACTTCATTTGCAAGATTCAGCAGTGTAAAAACACTCCCCATCGTCTGGGAGGGAAGAGGCTTGCTTAGCTGGATTACGCGCTATCTCTTTTCATTTGCTGTATGGAAATCAACTTGCTGAAGGATGGCGTTTAGCAAAACCCCACCAGTGTTAACCACAGACAAGCGACTGCAGGGGCATGAGGTGTGAGGCTTGCTTTTGACCGCAGAAGATGAGAGGGCCTGCACTTGAGCAAACCCAGGAGCACTCATCCAGCCCAGGCAGAGGCTACAGAGTAGATGCTGCCGGTGTTGAGTCTCAGCAGGAGTATGGGGGATCACATACATAAAGTCTGGCACCCGAAAATGAGAGCTTGAATTCATAGCTGGGTCAACTCGGCACTTCTTATTTCAGGAGCAGATCAGTCACGGTGACTGGGCATCAGTCTATCAAACAGGACCTTGAGAAGCACCATGCCACCTGCTGTGTGTTGAGAATAGAGATCTCATTGCTTCCTTGAGCAAGACGAAGGGCTCTCTGCCCTCTCCCATCATCGTTACAGCCTGCTGTGAGCCCTGTTAGTTATTCCCTGCCCTAGAGACATCTGCATTTGATGAGTGGGTTAAGTAATTCCTCTTTCTGGAGAGCACAGTTACTCAATCCCACATAGTATTAGGACTGTTATTTATTTAATTGCAAACTACTAGAAATTCTTGAGGGGATGCTATAAAAAAAGAAAGGTATGAGCTCCTCTCCCAACAGGGTTCTGTTTTCAGAAGATGATTGATTTGGCATCTAACCTAGAATGAAGCTCTGCACCCAAATTTCACACAGTAAGAGAGTACCCATTTGCTCTCCCTCCACATCCACCTCTCTCTGCTTCGTGCAGAGTCTGAGCATGGCTTCTGACCCAAATCAGTGATTATCATTTATGTTGCTGGACCCTTTCCTGCCCAGATACTTCAATATGTTCCCATCTAAAATTCTGTCCTGCAGAAATCTAAAATCCTCATTTGCAGAATTCTCTTCTTTCCACAGAACTGTATTAGAGATCAGCAAACTTCAATTTCTATAAAAATCTTCCCAGCTGAGAAGATAGCATACAAAAAAGAATTTCTCTGCAAGGTCATGTGCTGGATGGTCTTCGGGAGTCTACTGGCAGTGATGCATTTATTGCAGACTTTACTCCAAGGAGCAGCAGCCTGGGTTGGTAAGGATGCTGGAAGCTGGTAAAATATTATGTTATTTTAGCCTAATTAAGCATGGTTTTATTTGTGCTCATTCAGTCCAAAGCAGAAGTTATTTATTGAAACAGAGGAGAAACCATACTGAGCAAATATATCTGCTGCTGTCTGAACCTGCACCAGAATATTTAATCTGTGACTTCCAGCCCATTCCCCACTGCGGTAGCAAAGAGCAAAAGAGCACAGTCCGTGTGGATGAGGCATTAGCCTGGAAACACTTGACAGGGAACTTCAGGAAACTGGATGCACCAAGCCCACTAATTATTTCATTGGCTGCAAGAGGCAGAAATTGGGGTGACTAGCGGATGCTTTCCACTCTGCTTAAATAACAGTGCCTGTAGGCGTGGGCCATATCCAACCATAGTTATTCCTATGAATTAGCTGAGTAGGCATTTTCCCTGGACCTGCCTTACTGATGGTGGTAACAGCACTCCATGCTCCTGGAGGAAGAGCAATGATAACATATATATTTTATCTACTGGTCTCAAAGCAATGTATAATGCTCTGAAACAGATGTGTATTAGCTATTTGCTCTGTCCTCTCAAGCTGGGTGAATCGAAACACACAGGAACTACAGGACTTGCCATGGTGACACACCAAGTCAGAGAAGATCTCGAAGGGCAGCAACAAAGATCTAACTACCACACCCCGCCTCTCAAGCTTGCCTGGCCCTAATACTGTATTCATCTGTTATTTCTTTTTGCTGTACCCACTGCCAGTCATGTCAGTCTATGAAAACGTCCAGCAAAAGCAAAGAAGAAACAGAACCACATAAATGCTCCAGCTTGCAGGACTTTTCTCAAGACGCTGCTGGTGAGATTTACATTAGATCTCCTTTCTACCCTGTTCTCAAAATAACTAGAAAGGAACAGCCTCTTCTCTGTGTTCTTTAAACCAGCCTGGATTTGCTCTGAAAAAAAATCATTCAACATGCTCCTCTCTGCAACAATTCGTAGCTGAGGCAACTGGCTAGTAAAATGATCTCACACAAAATAGGAGCTATTTAATGCAGGTTCTTCCATGTGGCTGGAAAACACTAGGCATGCAGGAGGCAAAATTCAGAAGGGCTTTAATATAGCCAGAAAATCTGGCAAGCTTGAACCCAACTCTGTCCAGACGAGACAATATTTGGATGCTGCTCTCACATTATGGAGTAGACAGTTAAATCTGTGTATGATCAGTCTGCAAATCTCATCGCCAGAAGATATTATTGGGATCAAAAGATTATGGATTTAAATAAAGGGGGAAGACTGGGTATTTATATGGTTAATGAGAATAACCCAGTTATATTAGTTGGGATTATTATTAAATATATGGCAGAGCTGATAAAAGCCTGTGGCTCATCGCCAGAGCATTAAGGATATCTCCAATTTTCCTACGAATTGCATGTTACCCACTTTGGAGTTCTTGCTCCTTCCTCAAAATTACTTGATAATGGTCCCTTTTTTGAGATGCGACCTTAAATTGAGTAGATACCACTTTTCTCTAATCTAATGACCTTTGTTTTCCTGGAAAGGGAGAATACATCACTTCTAATGCTCAACCCCACAGGGCACAGGGTCTCACAGTCACTAAATGAATGAACTTCACTGAAACCCCTCCCTCCCACCCCCCTATCCTCATTTATCATAGTTTTTGCAAAACTGAGATTTAAATGTGTCTGTCTGTGAATGCTGTCATGTCCACAACCGTAGACAGGACCAGGCCTCTTTCTAGCTCACACAGATGTCAGGCTGCTTTGAAAGCACATTTCAAACCTGAGAACCAAGAGTGCTGCCCTGTTACTCCCCTCATTCATGTGGACAGACCAGCAAACGGAGGGGTTGAACTCCTGCCGGCTTCGGTTTGAGGTAAAATTCAAAAAGACATTTTCAGGATGCTGGGAATAAGCCAGCTGCAGGTGCTTCTTGAGTCATTTCATCTGTCATCTCTGAACACTGGAGTTCTGAGACGTTATAAGCCCTTAATCTCATTGTACAGATGTATTTTTCTTTGAAAGCATAACCATATATAGCCACTACTTTAATTGCCCTTTTACTTTGAATAAACTACTCAAGTCCTGTTTTCAGAGATCCCCTTTTTAATTCTTTCTTTTTTTAGGCTAACGCTATTTCATCACATACTGATATATTTTAATCATAGATTAAAAACACATTTACATGCTGTATGAGAAAAATAGCTGTTTCAGATGATTTGTTGTCCTCAGTAAAGAAGCACAAATTCCTGGAGCACAACCTGCAGTGCAGAGATCAGCCAGCAGAACCCCATCTTACCCCTTCAACAACATGTTGGAGCACAGCAAACATTTATCTGTTGCAGTTCATCCCAATTTGTTAAAAAATAATCAAGATCTAACATGTTCTCGAGCACTGTTATTAATGCGCTCTCAGATATCTATATTTATTTCTTTGAACAAACAATTCTATTAATCAGTTTAAGCCAATACCCTGACCAAGCTGTCTTTCTCCTTTGAGTGCAACAGATAGCAAAGAGAATCGCTAACGATTTTTCCAGCCAAGTTTTCTTTAATGGACTTCAAATCAAATTTGGGGGCTGATTCTGCATTGATATCTTAGCAGAAGTACTAGGAATGTAGGCTCAGATCTCTAAGAACAGTTACAAAGGGGGGAAAAGTAGCTGAGAGCCTCCCAGCTCTTCCTGTTCACCTGGGGATTGATGTGGTGCCTGTCCTACCTGGATGTCTATTATTCCTAAACGGCGTGGAGATTCCCAGCTCTGCTAGATAACCAGAGGGCACATCCTCTGTGTGACACAGAGCCACTTATGGGCCTGAAACAGCAGATTCCTCCATTAGCTCCAAACCCACTTAGGTGGGCTCTAGCCTAGGGCTAGGATTTCCTTGTAACCTTGTGTGAATCATAAGACTCCCCAGCATCAGGGCATCATACAAGAAAAGGAAGAAATTATACTGGCAATACAGTGGGACAACCAGTAGCTGGATGCCTACCAGATGTGTCTCTTGGTTCTTTCTTGCTCCAGAAGTTTTATTAGTGCATCATCTTTCTTCCGACTATACAAAGCTCTTAGGACAGCATGTAAGAGCCAGATCAATGCCATTTTCACAAACGGTTCCCTTTCACTTTTTGAAATGACAGAGCACTGCTTTTGGAAAGTTAACAAATAATTCTGTGCTTAGACAGGAGAAAGACCAAAGTGCTCTTGTTTAGAAAGTCACAACTTTCCATGCCAGCTAAAAGTCCTTAGATGTGGTGGAGGGATGTGGACTGTTATGCAGAGACAAACCAATTACAATCTGGAAGATGAGCAACTAATGAAATTAAATACATCTCTTCCTCTTCTGCTCTATCCATCACTCATTCTAACTACAACCTCTGGGAAGTATTATTTAGAAGACAGAAAGAAAGGCTTTTTTCTCTGTGTTGTCTCTCAGTGATGTGGATGTTTTGCAGGGGGCATTTTTAAGGTGCTGATCAGGATACATTTTATAAATGTTGCAAAAATAAGAATGATTACTCGTGGAAGCCTGCGTGGATCTCCAGAGACACGGCAAATAAAACATATGCAATCCTTTCAGGAAACCACAAGTTTTAGTTGATAAATATGACATAAATTAAAACAAACACCTCAGAAAAGTCTTTTTAACACCACATGACATATTGCAGAGAGTTAATTTTAAAATCAAGTTTAAGAACATATACATTAATGGATTAAAATCTGATAAATTACTGGACTGAAAAATGTCCTCAGAGTGAAATCATTCACAAACTTGCTACTCTAGCAGGGTCCCAGATGGGGTGGTACTAGCCCAGTATCAACATTTTTCCTTGCAAACATTTGTGGATAACCCAAATATTATGAAAATAGTAATTACCAGTGAAGTCAAAGCCTCACTATATATATAGTGGTATATGCTAAGCTGATGAGCTGGAACCAACAAACAAAATACATTTTTGTAAGATATTATGCATGAAAGAGCAAGGAACAAAAGGGCTCTATGTATAGACTGGGAGATTACATCCCAAGACTAGCAACTGTGAAAAGGATTCAGTGGTCACAGTGGCCAGGCAATTTTGCTTGATCTCCTATGGCAGGAGAGCTTATGAAACTGCCAGGTATATGAACAGAGGAGGGTGAATAAGAGGTGGAAGACTGTTCTAATCACACTCAGGCATTAGAGAGATTGACAAGGGAATACAGGTGAAAAATTGGAGTGTGCAGAAAACAGACACAAAAAAATATTCAAGGGCAGTAGAAAAATGACTTGGAGAAAGAGGCTTGGAGAATTCAGCTTTTTACTTCATCAAAAAGCCTAAGCACTGATTTGACAAGAGCTTATAAGTGCCTTTGTAAAAAATAAATATTGGTAACTAAAGGGTTCTTTAATCTAGTAGAGAAGGGCACAATGAGACCTAGCCACTCAAACCTGAAGCCAGATCCCCAAAGAGGAAATAAAGTACATGTTGTTAATAGGGAAGGTGATCTGCCATTAGAACAAACCAGCAAAGCACACAGCCCATTTGCTTCAGGCTTTCAGTTCAAAACTTTTTGACTTCCTTGAAAAGGTATAGCCTAATGGTACCTTCTAACCTCAGATCTAGGACCCAGATTTCTCATCTCCCTTTCCTCTGGCCAATAGGTACTCATATGTGGGGTAAGCATCATGCCATAATAATTATACTTCTGTGATATGTATTTTATGGCTTTTATTCTTTATTTTTTTTATGGTAAAGCTCTAACCATTTTAGAAGATCTTTTCCAAGCAGCAGGAAGAATCTGATTTAGATACTCAAGAGGCATAAGAATGAAGGGGAAAAAAAGCATTTTAATACACATGGTAGCTTTGAAAACCTCACCCTAAAAGACATACATTATTAAATCGGCAAGGAAAATGGACCAGTCATATAACTTACTTAAACTACTCTGTGAATTAATATAAGAGCCAAAGGCCCTCCTTATTTCTAGCCTCTGTCACCACATATCTAAGTGCCTGACAATCCAAAACATATTTATCATCAAATCATCTGTGCGAGGTAGAAAACTGCCATAAGTCAGGTTTTGACAAAGCAGAGCTGAGGCAGAGCAAGCTCTGGATCTTGTCCCATCATTGCAGAGCAGCACCAGAAATATTCACATTAGTGCTGCCCTCACTTGCTGTATTTACCCAGCCAAGGGCAGAAATGCTGGGTCAGAGCTGGACTTCTTAGCTGGAGCAGAGCACTTTACCAGCTGGAGAGGTTAACTTGGTATTTTTGGAGCTAGCACTAAGTCATTTCACAGCCGTGTAACAAACAACGAACGTGTAGACTCCCAAAGAAGGATTCAGCCATGGAGACACAGGTTAGAGTAGACACGGACTTGGGAGATCTGAGCTTACTGAGCTACTGCAGAATCCTTCTACAGCCTTTGTAGCTTACATCTTATTGTCAGATTCTTAGTCAACACCTCTGTTTGCCATTAATCGTATGTCAAGAAGTGCCTAAAAATCTGCTTCATTATTGTTCCTCAGAACTTCACACACGGTGCCCAACAAACAATTTCAAGCTCTGGATCACAATCAGCATAAACTCAGCTGTTCGGAGCATTATCCTCATGAAGGTTTTGGCAAATTCTTTGCAGTATGAGGAGGCAGCAGCAGTGAAGATACTCAGACCACTGCTTTCTTTTGGCATGACAGTAAAAAAGATAAATTGAAATTATCCTAAAATTTGCTCAGTCAAATACATGGTTTTATTTAGGGGATGACAAAATAATTCTGGGTTATAAATTCAAATTCTTCATGAACAATAGGATACAATTTAAATCTCACAAACTTTACAATGGAAGAAAAGAGCAAAATCCTTTCTTTCCACATTTTAAAGTGCAAAGACCAAAAATTCAAAAATTCCTCATGTCTTGAGTTTTGGAGTTTTTTTAATTTTGTCCAACTTTTGTCGGGTTCTTCTTCTAGTGGCTGGCCATGTTTGGTGTTCACGTAACCTAACCCATTTTGCCTCCATGAATGTTTTCCTGCATAACGTAGATCCTACATGAAACTCTAACAGATGTTTTAGGATACCCATGTTCCTGTTCTCCACAGCTACATGAAGCAAACTGTTGCCTATCCGGCTAGATTCAAGCCAGCTTTTTTGTATATATACAAGTTAATACAGTAATCACATAAAGTTTATTATATAAAATGAATGTGGTCAATGGAAGGTCATATAATCCTGTGTTTAAAGCACTGAAGCGGAACTTGGCTGAATTCCAGCGTTTTGGGCCAGCCATACAATCACTCTGCTCGACTGTCCATGTGTAAGCAAAGACTGTGCTTACCCTCTCTTATCCTTTGTCCAACTCCTTCAGTTCAGACACAACTCTTTGCCGTGTATTATTACGGACAGACAATATGATACCCTCTCAGTTGAGGTCTGAAGATTTTTGAACGGTACCGATACCACGTTTGAAAAAAAAAAAACCCACAGTATTTCTTGCTTTTATATACATGGATTTGTTTTAGCTTCCCAGAAAAGGAGCAGAAAGGACCCGTGCTTGGATTAGAAATGCCTGCAAGCTCCAGACTTCTGGGACAGCATGCCTTGGTTCAAACAATTCTTGCTTTAAACTGCATTTTAGCAGACTGCACCTGCCTTCAAAGCAGCTCTGTGAAATTCCACCTGAACAGTGTGGTTCTTCTAGCAGCGTGCTAGCAGATTCAATTCTCATGATCAGGTGAATTATACAAAGATGAACTCTTGCAAACAAGCACTGAAGCCTACGTGGCCAAATGCCAGCAGCTCACTGCTGAGTACCAATAATAAGCCAACCTACCCAGCCTCAGACCCCACTGCAAGATGTTACCCCTGGCTTGCCACCACTCTGCTCCTTGATGTGTTGCAAATTGTCCTCTCCAGCAGAGAAATCACCTTTAAATTTCATGCAGAGCAAGTCTAATAACTTGGACAGGGGGTCTTTGAAATGGCTTGCTCTGTGGTGCTTATACACTTGTGGTGGTAGATCTAAAACACTGCAAATTTACAACCTCAAGCTGGTGTCAGATGCTCCCTGTGTGCATTTCACATGATGTAAATGAATTTACCCATAGCATCATTGTAGCAAAGCAAAACTTACCTCTGTTTTCCCTTTACTTTGACAGGACCTCCTGGTGTCTTCATCTGAACCCCATGCTGTTGCCTGAGAAACCAAAATGCACAAGTCACATGACAATGCCACCAACCACCATGTCTGGAGACTCCCAAAACAAGAGCAAGTATCTCCAGCCAATTTGCATAGCCCAATTTAAAAGCAGCATTGTGACGGCAAACATGTATCTCGCTCCCACTGTGCTCACAGTGCACGCAAATGATAAATAGATGAGAAGTCCAGAGGCAGAAGCAACTGGAATGTTAACAGAGGACAGACTTTAATTTACATGTAAATACAACTCCTGATCATCATTCAACTGGAAGGTCCAAGACATAAGCCCCACACGCCAAGCCATCACCTTTTTCCAAAGAGGATAGTGCTGTATAAAAACGCCAGCTTTCATCACCAAAATGAACACCTTCCCTACAGCAAAGTCCAGTAGGTTCTGCACAAATCTGATGGTCTCCTTAAATATACCCCATAAGATTATCACCTTCTAAATAATCCGGCAGTGAAGCGAGCTGGATGAAACAACAACTGGGAGCTGACAGGCGAAATCCAGAGAGACAGGAAGCAGGGAGCAAGGTTGGATGGTGATTTGAGATATGCCAGTCAAGTGGGGTCAGATCCTGAGGTGGAGTGAAACGCATTAGGGCTGGGGGCACTATTGACCAGGGGTCAAGAGCACGTGGGATCCCCAGTCAGCTCTGACTGACTGCTTTGGGGCGGAGAAGCCCCTTCCTTCACAAGAAAAGCCAAGACCAGCAAAGCTGCATTACAGAGAACTTTTAGATTTAAAATATTCAGCAATATACCCAACCATTCAGTGCCCTCCGCAATTTTCCTCCCTTCAGCACTTTTTTTAAAATAGTGCTAACAAATTCAAGCAGGTATTGTTAGCTGGAGGTGAAAATACATATAAACATCCATACTATACATAATACATCATTCTGAGTACAAGAAAAATAGCTCTGTTACATAGGGAAAGGCCAGGCTCACAAAGTTCAGCCACAGATCCAAAGCTCCCCTAAAAGAGACAGGATTTCTTTTTTTCCCCCCAGTCCATTACCAACGCAGGAAATGGCTTCAAAGTTCAGTCCAGATCTGAACTCTTCTTGAACCTTCCCACTGCAGCCAATATATTTTTTTAAACTCCGGGCTTCCACAAAAATTGTCCCCTTGACACATGATAAATCCTGCTTTTTGCAGGACAAAGATGGGAGACTGGTAAGAAGAGGAAATAAATTTTCCCACCCTCCACTCAGGTCCACAAGAAATGCCACCATCCAGCAAATGCACTTATACACAACATTGGGGGAAAGGATATTTCTACCTCACTCAAAAAAAAAAATGGTATCTTCTCCATTAACTGAATATTCAGTTCAACTTGGCTTGAAGTAAGACTTTATGAGCACATGCAAATATCTGGTTGGAGAAGGGAAGAGCACAGATCTATCCCTGGGAGTCGCTTGGGAAATACCTCCCACGTACTGCCGTCCAATCCAGGCTGAAGGCCAAAAGCTTGTGCCTCAGAAGTGTTTTTGTGAGAGCTGGGATAAGTCCTCGCTGGAAAGGATCATTTAGCCATATCCTGAGAGGGGATACGATACGTCACTGGACGAGAGAGCTCACATCGATAAGCCATCATAGAGAGCAAGGAATTTTGAGTGATAACTCCCAGGAGCCGTTGACATCTGCAAAGCCACTGCCTAGCAGCATTTTGGTCCTCAGTCCTGAATCTAGCCCATATTCATCTAACCACAGTATCCTCACACCTTGGATCAATTTCTGACAACCTTAATACAAAAATAAATAAATAAGTAAAATCCTGAGAAGAGATTATGAGGTGGCTCTTCTTCCCCTTTGAAAAACAGACAGAGCACGCTCCATTATACAGCCCAGTTTACCTTAACAGTGCTTGACAGGACAAAATGAACACAAAAATCGTTGGTTACTTCAGCAATCAATGCTGCTTCTCTGCAAACACTCTGGGTCTTCTGGGATTGCAGCAACGCAACAGAGAAGAATTTGGCCTCCTAGGGGACACCTAGCTCTTCCTGCCAGACACCTGCACCACAGAGCTTTGCGGCATGTTGAAAACGTAGCTCAAGTCAGAGTAGCTCAAGTCAGAGCACTGGCCCCCTCCAGCTATGTTCTCAGTGCCTAACTGTTTGCTTTTATTAGGCAACATTGCCCTTCAGCTTTCTGAAGCACTACCTTGATGAGTCTAGTGATAACAGAAGTTCTTGGTGATGGCCCGAATTATACGAACATGTTGTTTGTGACTGCACCATTAGTCAGGGTGCACTTCATTAGAGCTAAGAGGATAATTAAGCAATATGTTAATCCAGAGCATGTTTTACAAGTCCCACACACGTGGGACAGGAAGGAGCTAGTTTGAGGGCTGAGTAACTCCAATGACCTCTAGTGACTCAAAGAAAATATTCATGACCCTACAAAGCAGAACATTTTGTCAAAAATAACAATATACTTGCAAAGCCAAGGAGCTAACGTGTGATCAAATAATTGTACTACAAGGTATGAGTATGCACCAGTCAGCTGATCTACGCTTAGACAAATCCTTCTGCTGGGCTTCCAGAAGCCCACACACATCTGTGGTCATGACCTTTGGGTTGGACCTAGTGGACCTAGTAAGATGTTCTCGGCAGGCTCAGACCTTTGAGCTTGGGGCTTTCACATGAGCTTTCCACCATTATTTGGTTTCTTTACTTGACTGATCAGCTGTCTTTTCAGACCAAAACATCCCACTCTTGTCATCTCTGTTCTAACAGGCTTCTCTGTGCAAACTCACTTTGTAATACTGTTGCTCTACTTCCTGCATCTCACCAATATGACCAACCCAAGGGCCTTCTTCCCAGATGAAATTTTCTTCCTCTGCCTTAGATTCATTTTACCCCAGTATCAAACTACATCCTGGACATTTGACAGAGAAACCTTCAGAAAGATCTCTCTCTTCTGGAGTACATCTGCATGTACCCATAAGTTTCTCAGTGAGGCAGACACCTACTTAACTCTTGCCTAACACTACAGCACTGTACGGGATGCTATGGACTTCTGCCTACTTACCTGATCATAATGCTTCTCAATAACCAGCCTCTTGCACACTGACATAGGTGCTTCCCCTCCCTTTCCTCATCTCACTCAATAAACCAAATTAATACTATTTCTTTTTACTGCTGAAAGCTGCCTCTGCACACTTGGATGAGGTAAAAACTGCATCTACCAGAAGTTTTTGGTCACTCATTTGGATCATCATCCTCAATTTATCATTCATTTTCTCAGTTGTATGAGACATTTTAAGTTTCCCCGCTCCAGAAAACACATCTGGGATTATTTTTGTACTTCCTGCTACACATATAAGTCAAAAGCAGTGGAGTAGACACCTCTGGACCCACATGGCAATAAAACAACTCTCATGGCATGGGTCATGGAAAACAGAGCCTGGATGAAGATGTGACAAACTTGGGAGCAAGGCAAAATACAAACACAGGACAGTATGTACTTTTTCCTAGCTGCTTCCCTGATTGCCACTTGCTTAAACAGCCAAGCAAACACTTTTTTTAGGCTGCCAGGATGTCAGCGATTCCTCCCCTTACATCCTTAACAAAAGCACTCCAGCTCCTCATGCTACCTCCTTACAAGTCCTCCAGCATTTCTTCCCTCCCTGCATGTCCAGTAGAAATGCAGTTTCTAACAGTGTTCCCAGCCACTTTGAGGACCTTCTCTACAACCACATGGCCCATGTGCAGAATGGGGGAACACCAGATTCATATGCTGTACGAATGAAACAACCAGCTCAGGGCTGCAGCTGCTGTGTGAGACAAGAGCAGTGCAAATCATGAGCAGAACTGCCCCACCACCTACACGGATGGCCATGAGAATACTAGCAACTTTGTCCCTGAACTGAAAATGCAATTAAATGTACCTGCCTTCATTCTATTTTGCATGGACACCTGGTTCTTCACATCTCTATTTCTGTTCTTCAGTTCTATGCAGGCAGGTTTTCTCAATTAAAAAAAAAGGGTGGGGTGGAGTATTGTGTGTTATTTCTGCGTCTTTAGGAAGTCACATGAAAGAGAACAATCACAGGAGAAGCAGTCATGTACCTCATGCAACACTACCCAACTAGAAATTAATAGAAATGGGCCACAATAGCTAAGCTCAGTGCATATCAGAATACTAAATGTCACGCTCTGACACAGAAAGAGTTAATGTCTTTTCTAACAAATTATGAGCATCAGTTTGCTCCCAGTTCAGACTGCAGATCAACAGTGCTCTAGAAATTCTAGCTCATCACATGCTGTCAAATCAGTTATTCAGCACACACTGCTGAGAGAAGCTTTCTAGATACATTTATTTAATTACCTGCACATCCTAGTGTTGGCATCCAAAGTACCTGCCTGTCACTAGTAAGTCCTGTTATCCCTGGTTATGTGCATCCTCAAACGCTGATGTGAAAATCTCTTCAACTTCTATGGACCAGCTTTTACATTCAGGCCAGCAATTTATAATTACTTCAAACACTACATATAAATTTAATAGCTAAGCATACACTAATCCCTGCACTGTACTTGCACAACAGAGGTTGCAGGGTTTTGTGCAAAATCAGAACATTGCTTTAAAACTGGAAAGTGAAGACTGGAAGAGAAAAGGTTACATGCATATTTATTGGGTAAATTAAACCTGTTCTTAATTTCTAAGGTCCTTTATTACAAACCTATCCATCTGTTACCAACCTCACTTCCATTAAGTACTCCATGCAAGCTACTGGCAGCCTTGCACGCCTGCGGACCGACCCAGAATCATGTTGTTCTCTTCTATTAGGGGAACAAAGTGTAATACAAAAATTTACATTGTGCATGTTTGGAAGGAGACAAAAAACCCCAAGTACAAACTTACTGCAAAAAAAAAAAAAACAAAACAAAACAACAACCCAGGGACTGATTCTGTGAGCTTCCCAGCATTTCCTAAAAGGTACTGAGTTCCTCACATTTCTCCTAACGTCAGCAGAAGCAGCACCTTGTGTC